AAATCCTCTTGATCTTCCAGCAACTGGATCTGTTTTAATTGTACAGTTCTACAACGTCTGCCAAATTGAGACAAATAGATTCATCTTTTTTGTTAGGAACATAACCCCTATAGTCACTGGATCCACTGAGTCAGACAAGAACGGAGCCAGACCCACTGGACTCAGACACCACCTGCCTCACCTCCTGTTGCTTCCCAGCCTTACCTCTCCCACTCTCCCTGTCCCTCCCTCCACTGCAGCCAGCCAGACTTTTTTTTTTTTTCAATTCCAGAACTTTCCAGCCTTGGTCTCCCTTGAGGTCTTTGCACAGTTTCTATTTTTTAAATATTTATTTATTTATTTGAAAGGCAGAGTTACAGAGAGAGATCCTCCATCTACTGGCTCACTCCCAAAATGGCCCCCAAAGCCAGGGCTGGCCTGGCCAAAGCCAGGAGCCAGGAGATTATTCTGGGTCTCCCACGTGGGTGCAGGGGACCCAAGTAATTGGATCATATTCCACTGCTTTCCCAGGTGCATTAGTAGGGATGTGGATCAGAAGTGCGGCAGCCAGGGCTGGCACCAGTGCCCACATGGGATGCTGGCACTGCAGGTGATGGCTTTACTCGCTGTGCCAGAGCCCTGGCCCCTGCACAGGGTTTCTTACCCTTCAGTTCTCTGTGTAGACCTCTCTGCAAAGCTCCTTCCCTTGAGCCCTGTCTCTATCCCCTGGATCCCACGGTCCTGCTCTGTTTCCCCTTCTTGTATTCACTCTCTGAAACTGTTTTATTACTTACTCACTTATTGTTTACTGTCTGTTCCCTCTTCCTTTATCTCACCAATAAAAACTTTTATCTTGGATCATGTTATATCTCTGATGCTAAAACAGGACTTAGCACAAAGTAGGCCCCCTGCCCCAAAATAATTGTGGAGTGAGCGATGTGTACCATATCTTATAAGGTAGGTCTGCATTGACAGCTAAAATCATTGACTATCACGCCAGGTTCTAGTGAGCTTTTTTAGGTATGAGTCATCTGCCCAGGTAAATTAACTGCCATAGGCTTTAGTATGTCAACTATTAATTAATTAATTAACTAATACCTTAATGAAGATGGAGAGGAAAGAAACAAGCACTTCCTAAGAAGACAGCTTTAATCATATCAGCATATCTCATTTCCTGTGGAAAATTTAGATGTAATTCTAAAATAAACAATTCATTTCTTTTATTATGGAAAATTTTAAGCATAAACATCAGTAGATGTCAAAACTAGGAATAGCATATTGGATCCTCTTGTACACTGTGTGAACAGACACTAGTGCGGCCCCTCCTCCTAGTGTTTGCTCACACTCTAGGGTAATTCTGTCCCCCCGAGCGCATGTGAAGCCCGGACCTTGCTTTCTGACCAACAGAACGTGCACATCAGATGTCACCCCTGTGGCTGTGCTACACGAGATTCTGCGTTGCTAGCAGACTCACTCTGCGGATGCTCTTGCTTGCTTGATGAAAGCGGTGGCCATGTGGGGCAGCCCACTGGACAATGAGCTTCGGCTGAACTTTAGGACCCGCAGGTGCACTCTTTGAGCAGAAGAGAGTTTTCAGTTGACACCAGCAGGGTCCTCAGTCCCACAGCTACAAGTAAAGAAATACTGCCAGTGATCCGAGTGGGCGTGGAAGCTAACTGTTCTCTAGTTGATAAGAACACAGCCCAGACAACAACTTGATGGCATGTGTGAGACCCTAAGCAGAGGACTCAATGTGCCTGGACACCTGACCCACAGAAACCATGAAATGCACCTGTGTTTTTTTTTGATTTAACAGGTAGAGTCATAGATAGTGAGGGAGAGAGACAGAGAGAAAGGTCTTCCTTCAGTTGGTTCACCCCCTGAAATGGCCGTTACGGCTGGCGCGCTACACCAATCCCAAGCCAGGAGCCAGGCACTTCCTCCTGGTCTCTCATGCGGGTGCAGGGGCCCAAGCACTTGGGCCATCCTCCACTGCACTCCCGGGCCACAGCAGAGAGCTGGACTGTAAAGGAACAGCCGGGACTAGAACCCAGTGCCCAACATTTGTGTTGTTTTAAAGCCACTGAGCTTGTGATAATTTGCAGCAACACATATCTAAATACCTAACTCTGACAATTTTCATCCATTTCCAGCAGTTTCATCGACACCCCCGCCATGTGTTTGGGGGTGTACATGGGCTGCAGTACTTTAAAGCACGTTCCAGGTTTCATATCATTTCACTTGCAAATGCTTCAGTATGTGTCTTTGACAGATAAGGACTTTTCAGAAGCCTAAAGATGCTCTAAAGATGTGGTCTTATTTGAGTGGCAGACACATACAGATATGGGGGAGGGAGAGTGGAAGCGAGAGAGCGAAAGTTAGAGAGAGAGAGAGAGAGAGAGAACCGGCATCCTCATTTGCTGGTTCACTCCCCAAATGTTTGCAATGGTTGGGGCTGGGCCAAGCTAAAGCAGGGACCCCAGAACTCCATTCAGGTCTCCCAGTGGCAGGGACCCAACATCACCTGCTGCCTCCCAAGGTGCACAATGGCAGGAGTTGGAATTGGAGCTGAGCTGGTAAACCCAGGCATTCCAACATGAGAAGAGCATTGCCACCAGCAGCAAACACCCCCCAAAGCCTTTCTAAAGCCATGGAGTCAGGGTACCTTTTATAGTAACTGGACACCCAGGGAAAAGGGGAAAAGCTGCTTTCAAGAAACTGTACAAATACATCCTGTTGAGCCCATCAGCGATAGGACAGGAACCGATGAGAGTTTTCACTTGGGCCTGCCAGGTTTATTTATTTATTTATTTTTGCAAGTTGGTTTTTAAAAATAGTACAGCCACCAAGAACATAATTGTCCCTGTAAACTGCTTGCCTATCATATAATATCTAAAATAATTCAAATCCAATTCTGATCATGCATTAAAGGCCCTATCCATTCCTTAAAGACCTTACCTGCTCCGGAATGGGCCCTCATCAATTCCGTTTACTCACACCTCCTTATAACTCCACGCCATCCTCTAATTGCCATCCCACCCACTTTTCCTTGCTACAGAAGCGCTTCCAACTGGCCCCATTTCTTCCCTCTCGGATGAGCCAATGCGTCTCCCTTGGACCCTGCCAGGGCTCTGGGACCAGGGCCTCTAGGGGACCTGCCAGGGCTCTGGGACCAGGGCCATCCTGACCACTCAGGGGCTTCGTGATGTTGGGAACACGCACAGGTGCAGCGCGCCACGTGCCTAGCCTGGAGGAGGCGCCACCGGGCCCGTTGTTGGGGCCCCCTACCAACCACCGAGCCCCAGAACGCCCAGCACCGCGCCTCGCCCGCCCTCGTCGCGGGGCATGCAGGGACTTGTAGTTTTCTTGGTCCCCAAGTCGCGTTTTTTCTAGGAGCCGGACCGCGGAAGGGAACTACACATCCCAGTGGGCCGTGCAAGGAAAGTAAGGCTCGGAAAACCGAGCGTCGCCACCTAGCTGCCTTCACTTACCGCGGCCCGATCGCCGCTCGCGCCCACCCGGAGAGTGTTCGGACCCCGCGAGCGGCGCGGTGGCTCGCCAGGCTGGGGACCGGCCAGGGCCGGAGGGGGCTCGGGCGCAGTGAGAAACAAAAGGCACGACTGTGAGCGCCTCCGGGGAGAGGCGCAGCGCCCCAGACACGCTGGCCGCCGAGGGGCTCTCTCTCGGGGCTGGGGGGGAGAGGCCGCCCCGCTCTGCCCTTCCCTCTCTACGGCAACCCGGCCCGCCCCTTCCCCATTCCCGGGCAGCAGTAGGATCGCCAGCGCCCGGGTGGGGAGGGTCATTTTCTTTTTCTGGGGTCCCCGCGAGTCATTTTATTTATTTTGCGAGCGGCCCTGCGAATGTCCGCGTCCCGAGGCCGGCCATATCTTCTCGGGGCTGGTTCGACCCCCAAATGGTCGCGGGCGATGCGGCTAGGCGCCCGGCCGGCTTCGACCTTGCTACGCCGGGCCGGAAGCCGAGGGCGCCCGCCCGCAGAGGGCCGGTGCCCGGGCTCCGCGGCCGGGAGGAGGAGCAGAAGGAGGAGTCCGGCTGCGAGGCGCGGGCGCCGCCGCCCACCCGGCCCTGAGGAGGCGGACCCGCTC